TTTTACAGCATAGAAACACTTGTTCAGTGCGGGAATGAACCTTCTGCCCTGCAGTGCTGCAGCCAAACTCTTAGCCACTGCGCTAATTTTTTCCTTAATTAATTATTAGTATAATTGTGCGTTTTTTATTTTATATTTTCTTTATACATATTTTTGTACATAATAATTGTAGACATATAATTACAAATTGTGTGTAAAATACATTGATTTTTTTATCTTCTTCGGCATTTTTACTCAATTCTCACGTTACAAAATTGATTTCTCATTAATAATTCAGTATAGAGATCTAACTTTTATTGTGTAAAAATATCGCTAAACAATATATCGATAAAGGTTATATCGATAAAATTAAGACATTTACAGCACTATTGTAATTCGAATGTTGTTGTCAGCCCTGTTAGTCAAAACTAAATGTCATATCTTGATGTTGGTACAGTAGCTTGGTGTGCTTTCATACATTTACTTTTACTATGAAAGTCCCGCCTCTTATACGTAGTGATTCTATTCTCTTTAGTCTATATGTCGCAGCCTAATTATATGATTCGCCGTATTACATTATGGCCAGCCGTTTTGTATTACGTCTGGCCAAATTGTATTACGGCTGAATGAAATCCCGCCGCTTAGAGTACGGTGCTTCGCGTCCTCTGACACGGCTAGCCGTAATGTATTGCTAATTTTTAACGCTCAGGGCGCTATCTACCATAACAACAACAGCTGAGTGAAATGCAGAATTTACGTGGCCAAAAAGTGAAAATTTTAATACTTTTTCAAATAAAATAAGTGTAATATGTGTGAAACAAGTTATTTTAAGGACAGGTTGTGTGATAACGTAAAAACCCGTGGACAAAAGACCGTGTTTTAGAGGTTCTAATGCACATTAAAATAAACCAGTAATGTGGCCATGAAGTCTGGCGTTCGACGAAATCCTACAATATTATTGGTCCAAAAATATGATATTATGATTATTAAAATATGAGATTATTGTTGGCAGTGATGACTACTTAATCATGAAGAAAAATACTCCAGAAGATCCCACTGTTCGAGTCGAACCCATGGAGCAGTATTACGATACTCTTATGGAAATCCACAAACAAATTGACCACGGCGGGGGAGACAAAATGTTATATGCAAAAAAATAGACTGTATATACTCAAAAGAGAGCCATTGAATTATTTATCTCCTTATGCCCCACATGTGAATCTAAGCGCAACTTGCCAAGGAAAAACATTTTTACGAAACCAATTATTTCAAAAGATTTTAATAGTCGGGGCCAAGTTGATTACATAGATTTACAGTCGACAGCAGATGGAGAGTTCAAATGGTTATTAAACTATCAAGATTATCATCTGAAGTCGCAGTACAATTAATAGACATATTTATGACCTTTGAAGCGACAAATGTTTTACAAAGCAATAACGGCCGAGAATTTACTGCCAAAATTATTGAGGAGGTCATGAAAATGTGGCCGGAATGTAAGATAGTACATGGAAGCCTTCGACATCCATAGACCCAAGGTAGCATAGAACGCAGTAACAAAGATGTGGAAAATATGCTCCGTATTTGGATGCATGACCATAATTCAACAAATTGGTCTTTTGGTTGGAAATTTGTACAATATCAAAAAAATGCATCATACCATCGAATCATTGGACGATCACCTTATCGTGCATTATTTGAATGCAATCCTAAATCTGGTCTGCAAGTTACATATATTCCTGATAGTCTCTCTAATCTTGATTAGTTAAAAAAAATATTATTCCTACAACATTAAATAACACCGTAGTGATGGACGCTAAAGACGTGACTAATCTTGAAGATAATTATGACGACATTTCTGCAATTGATAAGAAAGTTATTAATAATTCAGAAAAAATGTAATATCGAAGTTCCTTCCTCATTTTATATAAAAATTCGACTGTCCCTACGTTATTGTCGCCACAATCGTTAATCAAATGTGCTACTTACAATGTCGAGTTAAATGATACTTCAAAACATTTAATTGTAGGTGATGATTACATTTCCATTGTAAATGAAAGTGATTACAATTTCATTCCTTTAAACATATCAAATGACGCAGATAATATGGAGATTAGTGCGGTAGAGGTAATTAACTCGAAAAATAATAATGATTTTAATGAAAATGAAACTATTTGGTACGGTTCAAACTGTGTTATCTGCGATAAACCCACGAGTGGTGCTCATGAGTGCTATTCTTGTTTGAAACCAGAACATACGATCTGTGGAATATCTTAAGGCAATGAAGACTACGGATCAAAAGTATTGTGTACATTATGCAGTAGTGAAATAAAGATCACAACTGAAAGAAAAAAAAGCTCATGAATGGATTAAGCGTGCTGCGGAAAAAAATTTTGTGACACAGCCAAGAAACTTCCACCTCTACAGGAAGATATGGGGTAGTGGATATTCTTGACCGCCACTACACGGCATTCATAAATTATTAGTTCGAAATTATTAGTCGTTGGATTTATTATATTATGTAATGTAATATAGTCAACCGGACATTAACTCTGACATTCGATATATATATGTAGGTAAACGAAGTAGGTTAGCAAGTACCTACGGTGTGTTCGCTCTGTCGGATCGTGACGTGACGTCACAGAGAACGAACGGGTAAAAAATTTAAAAAATTTGCGAAGCTTCAAAACGTTATAACTTTCGTATTTCTGTACCAATTTGGATGAAACAAAAAAAATTGTTATTTTCATAAACAGAGTTTTAAAGCTATACAAATTTTATTGTCAAATGATTACATGTTGGTGTGACCCATTATCCTTCATAGTCACAGATTACCGCATTATTGAATATTTGTTCTGTTTCGAGTTCCCAAATTTGGCGGTATGCAAGGGTTGCGAGAGACGTGTCAAATGCGCTGAGATTGGATATTTAATTTAGAATGCACCAAACCATTTTCATTTACACCGTTGATCGATAAATTTGGGATTTGTTGTTTATTGATAAATAAATATATTGGATCAATTTTTATTTTATGTTTATTAAAAAATTAAACAAGGTTTACATATATTTGTACCGTTAACTTATAAATATATATTGCACTGATTTATAAAATGGATAAGCTTAGTATGAAATTGTTTCACAGAATTCTTAGGAACTCTCTTGCTGGATAAGAAGAGTAATCTTATGTGGATGTATTTTTCCATGACACTCTTATCTAAATCAATGACATGATTATAACTTTCGTGATCGAATTGGTGAATTTTTATTTCAGGAAAAGTATCCTCATTAACAAAACTGCTTAATGTTCGTGTTAAAAAACGGAATTCGTCTTTGGCAAACTGGCAAGTATAGAGATGGGTTAGCGGAATCCAACAGCCTTCTATGGTTTTTCATAGTATGAAGATTGTCTTCTGTGAAGTATCTTGAGTATAGCACACTATTTTTAGTGGGAAATCATTTGTCCCCTCGACAAGTTGCGTCGATTCACATCTGTTTCCTTTCGGGGCATTTAGGAAACCTATAACATACAGGTATCATAATGACACGTCACTATTTTTATAAAATAATATGACCTCTAAAACATAATTAAACGATGACCAAACAAATATCGACTTAAAAATCACAACACTATCGATACACGTGCTGTTGTTAGACAAAGACAACTATTGTAATTTACGTAATGAGTGAAAGGGACATTTCAAACAGAGATCAACGGGTGCTTAATTGTTATCATTTTGCACGATTAATTTACCAGTATAAGTTAATCTCCGGTGCATTTGCAATAGGTTAACGTGATAAGCTGATAAGTATAGAATTTACTTACCGATGAGATGTTATGCCATCTTTTTGATAACTGGATGTCTTACGGTACGTATACGTATACACCAAAACCGATTTTGTTGGTCGATGGTGGACAGAACTACGCGGACGCGTAACTCGGACGTGTATGTGCTTACATTGATTGTGTTGCTAAACAGAGTGAAGACGCGTTTTTAAAACGGAAGTATTCGAAGAAATGTATCTTTTAGAAAATTCATAGCGTAATTTAAATTTAAAAAAAAAGTTGCTCCATTTTTTTAAATATCTGGAACCGCTACATCTATTTTCGATGCAACTTCAGCCCATAACCGTTTCGAAACCTCTCGAGTATTGTAATTTTTTGAATGTTTATCCTACAGGGTTGGTGTACTATAAACACAACTAATAATTTTTTCAATATCCATAGTCGTTTAGGTAGATAACAACACTGACAGAAACAACAATAAAGACAGAATGATTAAATTAAACTAGGTATAAATACACTCAACTTGCACTGTAGCCGTCGGCAGTCTGGCGAGAAATTCCAACAAGTTCGGACTCCAAGGTTGATCGGCCGATGCGGCACCGGACGATGACGGTCGTGTTTGTGTACGCGCTCTCTTTCTTTTACAAGTGTTTGATTCGATCGTCCGAGTTAGGCCGTCGTCGCCTGAGCAAACTTCGGCCGATGACGGATTAAGTGTATGCGAACCCTTAGATGTATGCGAACCCTTGTTGCAGAGTAAGCACATACACGTCCGAATTACCCGTCCAAGTAGTTCTGTCCGCCATCGGCTGACGAAATCGGTTTTGGTGTACACGTACCGTTAGCTGACTTGCCACACCATTTCACTGCATAGGAAGCCATTTGTAATGTATTTTGGATACAAAACTACTTTTAAATTGTCAAGAACTCGGACGTGCCTACGGGTCACAAACTTGGTCGACAATGATGTCGTGATTCTTAGCGTCACTTCATATGCTAGCTACAGCAAGCATGTGTTGCGCTAGTAGATCTTTCGTACACATCTCATATTATACATATTAAAACCGACATAAAAATCACAAACGAAATCAAAAACTTAAAACATGCCCTACATAACTAAATTAAAATGTTATAACATAATACTATTAAAATTAAATCAAAACTATTTATTATTTTGGTACTTAATAAAAATAAACGTGTTTTTTTAACCAGGTGGTTGATATCAAATAATTATAAAACATTACTTGTTAACACATGTTAAGCTAGAATGGCATTTAGATCCACAAAGAGTATTTTTCTTGAAGCAGGTACAACACTGATTTTTCGCTGGCTTACAAGAACACTTTTGAAATCCTCGCCTACCAAAAAGTTTGGTTACAGCCTCTCGTAAGTATATATCAATATTTGTGGTATTTCTTCAGCATAATTATTTAAAGAAATTTTTAACTCATGATAATGGAACCAGTTCTTAATTATTCATGATTTGGTATCTACTTTATAAACGCCATTCCTAAAATCAATTATTCTTGGTATCTACGGGGCCACGGTCAATTTTGGGTGCATTAAGAAATCTTCAACATCTCCAACCTGTAGAGGTGGAAGTTTCTTGGCTGTGTCACAAAATTTCTTTCCGCAGCACGCTTAATCCCTTCATGAGCGTTTTTTTCTTTCAGTTGTGATCTTTATTTCACTACTGCATAATGTACACAATACTTTTGACCCGTAGCCTTTATTGCCTTAAGATATTCCACAGATCGTATGTTCTGGTTTCAAACAAGATTAGCACTTATGAGCACCACTCGTGCGTTTATCGCAGATAACACAGTTTGAACCGTACCAAATAGTTTCATTTTCATTAAAATCATTATTATTTTTCGAGTTAATTACCTCTACCGCACTAATTTCCATATCATCAGCGTCATTTGATATGTTTAAAGGAATGAAATTGTAATCACTTTCATTTACAATGGAAATGCAATCATCACCTACAATTAAATGTTTTGAAGTATCATTTAACTCGACATTGTAAGTAGCACATTTGATTAACGATTGTAGCGACGATAACGTAGGGACAGCCGAATTTTTATATAAAGTGAGGAAGGAACTTCGATATTACATTTATTCTGAATTATTAATAACTTTCTTATCAATTGCAGAAATGTCGTCATTATTATCTTCAAGATTAGTCACGTCTTTAGCGTCTATCACTACGGTGTTATTTAATGTTGTAGGAATAATATTTTTTTGAATTAATCAAGATTAGATTACTTATTTCAAAAGTGTTATTTCATGTTTCATTTGGTTTCAAAGTGTTAGTAATTTAATTTACTGATTACTGTGGAATTGTGAGGGTTGTGTCTTTATTAGGAATAACGGAATAACAAGGCTTCGCTATTAGGTTTTCAGTGTCAGTTTGAACATCTACAATATTTTCAGAAAGGACATTATGAAATTGTTCTTCATTATCAGTGGAAGATATATCAACAATATCATTTGCAAGATTAGTTAACTCTATAGTTTCAGTCACATTGATATCGGAACAACTAGGTTCCCGCAGGTTATTTGTACGTGTTTGGGCGTCTGAAATGTTTTCCAAATCAGCTTCTGTATGAATAAACTGAGAGGAGGAGACTAAGGAGACTATCAGGAATATATGTAACTTGCAGACCAGATTTAGGATTGCATTCAAATAATGCACGATAAGGTGATCGTCCAATGATTCGATGGTATGATGCATTTTTTTGATATTGTACAAATTTCCAACCAAAAGACCAATTTGTTGAATTATGGTCATGCATCCAAATACGGAGCATATTTTCCACATCTTTGTTACTGCGTTCTATGCTACCTTGGGTCTATGGATGTCGAAGGCTTCCATGTACTATCTTACATTCCGGCCACATTTTCATGACCTTCTCAATAATTTTGGCAGTAAATTCTCGGCCGTTATTGCTTTGTAAAACATTTGTCGCTTCAAAGGTCATAAATATGTCTATTAATTGTACTGCGACTTCAGATGATAATCTTGATAGTTTAATAACAATTTGAACTCTCCATCTGCTCTCGACTGTAAATCTATGAGATCAACTTGGCTCCGACTATTAAAATCTTTTGAAATAATTGGTTTCGTAACAATGTTTTTCCTTGGCAAGTTGCGCTTAGATTCACATGTGGGGCATAAGGAGATAAATAATTCAATGGCTCTCTTTTGAATATACAGTCTATTTTTTTGCATATAACATTTTGTCTCGCCCGCCGTGGTCAATTTGTTTGTGGATTTCCATAAGAGTATCGTAATACTGCTCCATGGGTACGACTCGAACAGTGGGATATTCTGGAGTATTTTTCTTCATGATTAAGTAGTCATCACTGCCAACAATCATAATATCATATTTTTGGACCAATAACATTGTATAAGATTTCGTCGAACGCCAGACACCATGGCCACATTACTGGTTTTAATGTGCATTAGAACCTCTAAAACACGGTCTTTTGTCCAGGGATTTTTTACGTTATCACACTGATTTGAGTAAAAATTACTTAATTCTTCATTAATCCTGTCCTTAAAATCACTTGTTTCACACATATTACACTTATTTTATTTGAAAAAGTATTAAAATATTTACTTTTTAGCCACATAAATTTTGCTTTTCACTCAGCTGTTGTTGTTATGGTAGATAGCGCCCTGAGCGTTAAAAATTAGCAATACATTACGGCTAGCCGTGTCGGAGGTCGCGAAGCACCGTACTCTAAGCGGCGGGATTTCATTCAGCCGTAATACAATTTGGCTAGACGTAATACAAAACGGCTAGCCATAATGTAATACGGCGAATCATATAATTAGGCTGCGACATATAGACCAAAGAGAATAGAATCACTACGTATAAGAGGCGGGACTGCCATAGTAAAAGTAAATGTATGAAAGTACGCCAATCTACTGTACCAACATCAAGATATGGCATTTAGTTTTGACTAACAGGGCTAAAAACAACATTCGAATTACAATAGTGCTGTAAATGTCTTAATTTTATCGATATAACTTTATCGATATATTGTTTAGCGATATTTTTACACAATAAAAGTTAGATCTCTATACTGAATTATTAATGAGAAATCAATTTTGTAACGTGCGAATTGAGTAAAAATGCCGAAGAGGATAAAAAATCAATGTATTTTACACACAGCAATTTGTAATTATATGTCTACAATTATTATGTACAAAAATATGTATAAAGAAAATATAAAATAATAAACGCACAATTATACTAATAATTAATTAAGTAAAAAATTAGCGCAGTGGCTAAGAGTTTGGCTGCAGCACTGCAGGTCAGAGGGTTCATTCCCGCACTGAACAAGTGTTTCTATGCTGTAAAATAAATAGTCTGCGTCTGGATGCTTGTTTTCAATGTTAGTTTTTTAAAGGGTAAAAAAATTGGGTTTTTTAACACTAATTGGATTAAATTGATTTTAAGTGTAATAAATACTACGTACAAATCACTAGGCTTCTTCACAGAGGTACCATACTACACGCAGAGATCGTTTACTAATTGTCGCTTTCAAAATGAGTGCTCATTATAGCTAATGTTTGTAGATGAATTTATAAAAAAAATATTTATAACCAGGTAATTACAAATAACTTTGAGTTTAGTTGTATAATCGAATTCTTACAAAATGTGACTTTAGAGGGATATTATCTTTTGCTACATGTAAATGAAACCTAATTTCCACTGATGAAATAACAGTTCGTTTTAGTTGAGTTCATCAATGCAATGTTTGCCACAAATATGTTTTAACATGTGAATCTTTTCAATTGGTACATGTGCCAGCTATTTCACCCTGTGCTTGGATTTGAAAAAATAATATGAATAAAATCACATTTTTATTGAACAAATAGAATGCTAGCAGTCACCATTGACAATGTAGTTTCTAAGTATAGTTCGTTTCGGATTGCCATTCCATCGAACTATCATAATAACATAAACACTCACGCCTGTCACCCAGAGGGGTAGGCAGAGACTACGGACTTCCATTTGGCGCGATCCTGACACACCTCTCTCGCATCTTTTACACCCATATATCTCGTACGCATACACGCTCGTCGGTTAAGGGTACTCCTAATCTGGCCCATTTTTAATGTATCGCCGATTTAGTCGATAAACCTTCGTCTAGGGCGTCCCTTCCCGACCCTGCCGTTCACTTCTGCAACATAAATTTGCTTTGTCACTCTTTCCTCGTTCATTCTTTCTACATGACCAAACCACCGAAGCATTCCTTTCTTAATCCTTGTCACAACGTCATCTTGCAAATCACACTTTTCTCTTATCACACTATTTCTCACCCTGTCATTCAGATTCAGCCCTAGCATACTCCTTAAGGAACGCATTTCTACAGCATTTATTCTACTCTCATGCTTCTTCTGCCAGACCCAACTTTCACTACCATACATTAAAGTAGGGACTAACACAGCATTATGAATTGCCATACGTGCCTTAGTTGACACATTCTGACTCCTCATAATAGCGTGTAGAGCCCCATTCACTCTATTTCCTGCGTTCACTTGGCATTCTATATCCTTATCATATCTACCATCCCTGCTAAATAAACATCCCAAATATACAAACTCAACCACTTGCTCAATCACCTCTCCTTCTATTCTTATTTCACATAAAGTTTTACTTTCTTCTCTTTCAAAAACCATCACTTTCGTCTTACTTGCGTTCACTTTCATACCCCTTTCTTTCAATTATCAATTCATTAAAGTAACCATCATTTGCAACTCTGCCGCCGACGATGCAAATATGACTTGATCATCGGCGTACAAAAGGCATTTGACGGTTGACTCACCCATTCTCAACCTACATTCTTCACCTTTCAAAGTTTGCAAACAACTGTCCATAAATAGGTTAAACAGCCACGGGGAAGCCACGCATCCCTGTCTGACACCTTTATGAATGCCAAACCAGTCCGGGTAGACCCCGTTGATCCTGACACAAGCACTAGAGTCCCTATAAAGAGACCTTAATGCCTGTATCAAGCCAGCGTTCAACCCAATTGAGTTCAGTGTTTGCCATAACACATTCCTGTCCACCAAGTCCATGAACGCACAAAAAAACTTTCTGGTTTTTGGCCAAAAACTTCTCCGCTATCATGCGCATGGAAAAGACTTGATCCGTATACCCCATCCCCTTTCTAAATCCAGCTTGCACATTCCAAATTTTTCCATCAGTTTCTTCCATAACTCTTTCAATTAACACCTTAGCATACAGTTTACCCACAATGCTAAGCAAGCTGATACCACGGTAGTTTTTACAGTCCTGCTGCGACCCCCTTCCCTTATATATTGGGACTATAACGGCTTTGCACCAGTCTTCGGGTACCGGCTTCAGTTCCCAACATAAATTAAACAAGGTGTACAGCAGGCCTGCAACCACACCCTCACCAGCCCTTAGCATTTCGAGTGATACTCTATCATATCCGGCTGCCTTACCTGCTTTCATGCTTTTCATTGCTTTCATTATTTCATCTATACTTATCTCCCTACCCCTCTCCACTTCTTCCGGAATTTCTATTTCACTTATTTCAGACAACTCTTCACTCTTAAACACGCTTTCAATCTCTTTAAATTCGAATTATTCCTTCCATCTCTTTAAATTAGAAACTTCATCATTCAACATGCAGCCATTCTCGTCTCGTATAGAATTCATTCTAGGCTGTTTTGAATTTCCCCTGGCAGTTCTTACGAGCTTCCAGAACATTTTAATATTTTCCTGAAAGTTATTAGATATCCTTCTATCATTTTAATCTATCGTTTCTTGCTTTTTCCTTTCAACAATTTCTTTTACTCTCTTATTTATACGTCTAAAGTCTGCCTTTTTTCTTTCAATCTCATCATTCATACCACCAGAATTACCAGCTTTAGTTGCTAGTAAATCTAGCCATACTCTCTTCTTTGCTTCAACTTCCATCCGTACCTCATCATCCCACCACAACGTATTACTTTTCTTTTCATTCGTTCTCTTACTTACACCACATACTTCGGTGGCTGCATCCACCAAAACTTTCTTAATATTATTCCATACATTCTTCAATTCTAAATCATTCATACATAATTCATTCAACCCACTTATGTTTTCCCTCAGTCTGCATTTATAATTCTCTTTCACACCTTCATCTTGTAACCTCTCTATTCTTATACGCTGTAACGCAATGGTAGACACCGATGTCCGATGCCGCCAACGTCTGAATAGACCATTAATTCGGCATAAGACCAAGTAATGATCAGTCCCTACGTTAGACCCCCGGTAAACCCTTGTATCTACCACTGCGCTCCTCATTCTTTCATTCACAATTATATAATCTATCATGCTTCTATCATTCCTTCTTTCTCATGTATACATGTGAATCCTCTTATGGCGAAAGAAAGCGTTCGCCACAAAAAGATTCTTTTCCACACATACGGTGAGGAGGTCTTCACCATTCTCATTTATTCTTTCATCGCCAAACGTTCCCAATATCCTTTCATAACCAGACCTCTTCACCCCAACCCTTCCATTAAAATCTTCTAACATAATAATATTTTCATTTTCCTTACATTTCATCAACACCAGCCTTACCATGTCCCAAAACTGCTCTCGGATGTAAGTGGGCTTCTTTAAGCCCAATTTCATTCGTATCCATAGCAGCCTTGGGCTAACACATTCATACTCTTTCACACATTGACCCATTCTTTCTGAAAGGATGACACCGACTCCCTGGCATGCCCTCTCGGTCTCGTCTACTCCAGACCAGTAAGCGATATACATGCCATGTGCAGTGACATCTCTTCCCTTTCGTTTCGTCTCGTTCACACATAACACATCTATTCCTCTATCATTCATCATTTCGCATACTTCATCCATCTTATCATTCATTGCTCCACATACATTCAGCGTAGCCAGACGGGCCTCCGCAATCCACTTTTCGCCCCCCCGGGAGACAGGACGTGACGGGTGGCGAACCTCGTCGCCGGTTTTTCTCCCGGAGATTATTCGCACCCCTGCCCCATTAAAGGGGCGCCGGGGACTCGGGGCCATTTCTTTTTCTTCTTGGCTCATGGTGCGAACTAAGGGGTGGTAGATTTTAAGCCGCTACCATACGGCGAGGAGCCGAGTCTGTCGTTTCGGCTTTGTCGCTCGTTTAGCACCACCCGGGGGACACGTGTAGGGTGGGCCTAGGATTAGGTGGTCGAAGCCTACGGACGAGAGGCCAATCGACGGATTCAACTCGGTCGGGCAGCGTTCGGGAAATTACGACACATCTTCTCGTCAGCTATACGTCACACCCTGAAAACGAGATTGTACAAACAGTGCGTGTTGACAGTGATGAAATGACTTATGGATCTGAGACGTATCTTTCATTGCTGACCGTATGACGACGCTCAAGGTTGCTCAGCGAGCTATGGAGAGAATATGCTCGGGGTTTCTCTGCGTGACAAAATTAGAAATGAGGATATCAATAGGGAAAAAAGGTTCCCGAGTGGCAGCCTTGTTCTGGTAAGCAAAATGTAGGGCGTTCCCCCACTAGATGGAGTGACGACCTGGTAAGACATGCAAGAAGTCGATGGATGCAGGTGGCTCAGGGCCGTACTTTGTGATATTCCTTGGGGGACGCCTATATTCAACAGTGAACTTATGAAGGGCTGTAATGATGATGATGATGATTATCCTTATCAGCCTGCATAAAAAACAAGGTCATAAAATTTAATTGTTATCTCACGCTTAAATTGTGTCACATTTGCATCACTGAAATAGATGCAAAAATGATGATCGATACCATATATTTTATGAACTCTTAGAAGTGGTCAGTACTCACGCATCTAGTAGTCATATTGAGGTTATAGAAATACCGCTTATACCAAAATTCAAAAGTAACGACTTCCATAAATTTTATTTGTTTAACGTAGACCGCTATGAGGTGCTAATCGGAAAAGACTTATTATTTTTATTATTTTGTATAGAAAATAATCGGTTTTATAGAATCGATTATTTTCTATTTCAACAGACATTCGCAAGCGCTCAGCATGCAACCCTAAATGAAATCCTACCTTAGAAATGTAATGGTCACTGTTTGGTAGTCAAGCGCCAGGCCAGTTTGATTCATCACAGCTTGTTACCAAATAGGATGAGCATTACTGCAGATGTGAACGGTGAAGAATTGAACACAACGATGGAGAAGCTCGCACGTCTCCAACCAGCTTTGGTCAATCGCTCGTCCCCGATGCTCTTGTACGACAACATGCGACCTCATACTGCACAACAGATGGTGTTCAAGTTACAAGAGCTGGGGTATGGAAGCTCTCCGTCATCCGCCGTACTCACCAGACCTTACGCATACATACTTTAACTTTTTGGACGGAAAAAAATTCTATACCCGAGACGCAGTACAATAATTTGTTGCCTCCCGTCCAGATGATTTCTTCAAGAAGGGCATCAATAAACTGCCACTGCGTTAGCAAAGATGCATCGATTGCATGGATGATTACTTTGATTAATAGAAATAAAAAATATAGAACAAAAAAATACGTTAAATAAAAACAGCTATTACATAGGTAAAGACCTAATATAAATTGTTTCACAGTGTTCTAAACTGTCTAAGCTTTGACTGCGTTATGGAGATCAAAACTTCAATGTGGATCGTTGACCGAGGTAAAATGAAGTAATAAGTAACGCTTCGAACTGGATGGACCCGTTCTGATAGTACTTAATAATATATTTATGTTTTATATTAACATATATTTGCAATAAAAAGAAAATTATTTAATGGAATTTACAGCAATTGATTACCATAGTTATTAAGAAAACATTTGAACCATACGTGCTTTACTTGAATTGCTAACAGCTTTGAACGGTTGAGCTTGAGCTTTACTCTTACTACCTGCTTTACCGGTATAGTGTTGTCATAGTTATTCTTTTTAATTATAATTAAAAGATAATCAATTCATGTGTAAGGTTTTATAAGGTTTTTTTTATAAAAAAGGAAATATTTTTACAAAAAAGTTACTATTTTTACAAATAGTAATACTGGCAATACTACTGAATTTACTCCTGGCGATTTATGACCACAACGAAAATATCAAAAAAACCCTAATAGTCTATTTCTCTATCGCTATGCTATCAATTGGTACCTAAAAGTGTTGAGTGATATATCAGGCCACCAAGTAGCAATGACAGTTTATTGCATATCGCAAAAGCTCGCCTGTCTGCCTGGCTTATCTTTCAAGGTTTGAATGCCTTTAATTTCTGCACCATTAAAGCCTCAAAGATTATATCCAGCAGTGAACGTATGTAAGTGGTGAAAAATATTGTACCTACATATAAATTATATACTTATATGTAGGTACGACCTGCTCCCATCGTGTACACAGCACAGGGTTATTATGCAATGACCGGCGAAATTTGCACAGAATTTTCAGAATTTGGGAAATGAAAGAAACGACTCAAGGCTGTCTATAGATGGCTCTCTATAAATACAGAGTAATTTTAAAAGAATAGCCAAATTTTAAACTGATGTTCAAAAATATAAATAATGATATAACGTTAATGCAGTTTTTGAAAATACAAGTAAATAAGGCTTCAGCTTATATTTGAAATTATCTCGAATTGAATATGATTTATGGACAACAACGTTTTTGCCTACCGATCAACCCTTAAAAAGTAGGCGCGCTCAGTAAAATCAGTTAAAATAATGCGTTACCATTTGAATTTAAAAGGTAAAAAGGACAAAATCTTTGCGATTTTTTTTAATCAATTTTCTTCACCATTTGCCTATATTATTACTTATTCTAAACTTTCTCTGCAAATTTGGCCGATTATTGCAAAATAAACCTGTATATTTTGCCTCTATCAACGGGATGAAATATGATGTTAAGTCTGACGCCATTATTACTTCGAAATAAACTTAAATAGATTAACGTAAAGATATAACTGATTTCATTGTACCCTTTATAATCAATTTGAAATTACTACCTATACTGTAATTTAGATTGAATATTAAATCGTTTTTAAGTGGCAAGCCACGTTGTAGACTATTATGGTTGCAGCAAAATGGGCTGGTTCTACCCGGGGAAGGACCACGCTTGCACTGAAACAAAATACCAGTGTGGAATAGCAACGAAACGTAAAAGCCTCCTGTGAGTATAATTTAAAAAAATAAGAGTGCAATTCATTCAGAGGTTTTGTAATGATGACACAGAACGTGGTATTGCTTGTATTAGTTGTTTTCAAGGTATCTACTCATAAGTTTTTTTTTAATAAGGATGACAAACTAGCACACAATCTACCTAACGGTAAAGCCCCTAAAGACTAAGATGGAATGCTCATTTCTAATAAAAGTTCTCTACACTCACCATACGAAACATTAAGCTGCTATTTTACCCTGGTGTTCTGTGATAATAATATTTTTTATTTTATTTTACATTTAACAATTCTACATAAGGGGTTACTGGCAACACTTACTCGCACGCGCAACTACAAAGGTAGACACTCACACAAACCATTGCCGTGTGAATATGCGTCACAGTCTATCTCTATCGAATCGCACGAAACGAAACAGTCGATTAGTCGACGTCGGGTTGGCGGCAGGTAATGTGTCCTGTTTTACCGGTTGAACGACACAAAACGACCGAACGAACCACTAGTGTGTGTAACGAACAAATAAAATAAAATACGGTTAAATTTATAAAAGAATATATTATGACTAATGTTGACATAATTCATTTATTTGTGTATATTTTAACGTTTTAGTGCATCACAATTCTGTGAAACAAAGTTTGAAATCATTGGTAACACATCTAAAGCTCCTATTTATTTATACATGTGTTTGTGCAGTGTATAATTTGTAAGTTTTTGTTTTTGAGGACCATAAGTTGACGGGTAAGTAAATCGTGTCACGTTAATTATTTATTGATAGAATAATATTTTCAGGTAAAATTTCTTAACAACTATTCATATTTTACGCTCGGAACGTATAATGTAGAGTTTGAAATAATTTTATTTTGCAAAGAATTTAGATTTCTTCAGAAATAAATATCATATCTTTGTTATTCCAAGTCCCAACACATTTTTAACTAATTTACTTTTGCAATACAAAATCGGGCTGTTTGTTCTATCAGATATACATACATATATATACAGAACACTAGCTCCTAGCAGAAAGCTACACGGTAAACGCTACAACATCTAGAGATAAGGCATGCAGATGCAGCCCGAGTTTGGTCTCCGACAGCAAGCGCCGTCATCACTAAAACTATAAATGGCAATTATAGTTTAGTGATGTATAATATGTAGGATGTGTGTGTGATTTCGGAGCAAGAAAAATGTGGCGTAGGTACCATAAATGCATCGTAGCCTGTGCCCATCAGTGCTGTTACTTTACTTATATGTTCTTCCAGAGCGGAGTATCATTTAGGCTATTTAAAACAATAATGATAATGATATTTCCATAAATTTGGTTTAGCAGCTAAGATGAGTTATAAATTTATGAAATCAGACAAAGTAGCTTGTAATTTGCTATTCAATCTTAAATATTTACATAACGCAACTAAAAATTTAAAGATTTAAAAAAATCTGTAATAAATGTTACTTTACTTAATTGTGTTCGTAATGTTACTGTACGCTGTCTATGCAAGAAGCATCCCGCACTAGGGCTATGCTTCCCCCAACCCAAAGACCAAAGTCGTACCGTCGAGTCTTGTGCCATCGCCTCTAAACGGTTCACAAAGTTCTAAAACCGAGGAAATATTTATAGAGACTAGAGCTCTTCGGATAACATCGTTCAAACAAACGTGAGGTGACAACCTACTAGCACATTCTTTACATGAGAGTCCGTGGAGCCCAAACTCTTCGACGCTCCTACCACAGGGGCATTGGTTAGGTTGATTAAACGCCGCTCCTTGTCGGATTCCTATGATTATGTGCAATCTTTCCCCATCAAGTAATGTGCCGTGATTATATGATGGGTGTCGTGTAACCGGTGACTAGATTCCTTAGTTAAAACAGCTAGAAGGCGGGCCTGATTTGATCAATATGGAAATTATGGAACCAATATTTCTGCACACTCGATACCAACGGAATGAGGAAGTCGCGGTTAACAACTAGTCTATACAAATAAATAAAATTTAAGTGTCTATTTGTAATTTCAAAATAACAGCTTCTTACTAAATGCATATGAAAGTATATACAGTACTTATAAAATTTTAAAATTTTTGTCTGTCTGTTTGTTCCGGCTAATCTCCGAAACTGCTCGACCGATTTTGATGGGACTTTCACTGGTTATTTCACAGATAACTAATATTATAAGGAGTAACTTAGGCTACTTTTATTTTAGAAAAGATTTAAGATTCCGCGCAAAAAAAACCTAAAACCAAATTACACGCGGGCGAAGTCGCGGGGTACAGCTAGTAAATAATAAAATACTAATTGAATAATCGGCTACAATTAGCGGAAAAAACACGTTCAAAACTGTAACTGTTATATTCATTATCATACATAAAATATTTTTCATTACTCACACAACTGTTACCCTTAGAAGTAGGCAGAGACTATGAGACTATACTTCCTCTATGGCATTTTCTAAAGACCATTTGACACGGTAATGACAAACTTCTCACGCTTCATTCACATCCATATATCTATGCATACATGTTCATCGGTTAAGGGTACACACCTAATTGGTTGCATCTACACAAATGATACAAATAAATAAAATTGAAGTGTCTGCCTATAATATCAAAATAACAGCTTTTTATTAAATGCATAATATGAAAGTATATACAAAAAAAATTAAAATTTTTGTCTGTCTGTTTGTTCCGGCTAATCTCAGAAATTGCTAGACCGATTTTCACGGAACTTTTACTGGCAGATAGCTGATGTTGGAAGGAGTAACTTAAGCTAATTTCATTTTAGAAAAAGAATTAGGATTCCACGCAAAAAATTAAGACCCATGAAATTCAATCGTAATAAATTCCACGCGGACCAATTTTCCGGGAACGGTCTTCAATATATCGCCAATTGGTTCAGAAAACTCATTTAGGGCGTCCCTTGATGACTCTGCCATTCACTTCTACAACATAAATTTGTTTTCGCTCTCTATCCTGTTGATTCTTTCTACATGACCAAACCACCACAGCATTCCCTTCCAACCAAACTTTTCTCTTATCGCATTGTCATTCAGGGTCACCCCTATCATACTGCTTAATGACTGTATTTATACAGCATTATTACTACTCTCATGCTTCTTTCAACTTTCACTGCTATACACTAAAGTAGGAATTAATACAGCATTGTCATACGTGTGTTTTTAACAGATTATTACTTCCCCCAATAGAGAGAGCCTAATAGTTCTGTTTCCTGCATTCACTCTTTGTTTTATATCCTAACTATCAATACCAAGAGTCATTTAATTATTTATTATTCAATCTAGTGTTAGTGTTCTATTATTCAGGGAGAAGACAGAGGAATACGAGGAAAATATTTATATATGGATTAAACGATGCCCTGTTATCCTCTTAATAAAGAAAGGTGATTAAAATTTATAAATAGTTTAAGAATCTTAAAATGAATAAAATATATATTTTTTGTAAAACGATTAGTTAATCGAAAGCAAAAATATCTCATCCGATTATTGGAGTTACGTTGGTTTTAGCGTAGTTTATGTACGTATTCCTAGCACCAATTACAAAACCGTGCGTAGTGCTAAGTGCATAGTCCGTATTACATTTTTTTTTAGAATTAACAAATTTTCTAACCGTTAATGTTGGAGTTGAGTGGCTTATTTCGTTAACCTAGTTAAATCAATTATAAATGGAACTGCATTCGATTGAATGACTGTATTTTAGTTTTTAGATAAGTTTCACAAGACAAAAGAAACAAAAATAATAATTTCGTTACGCTATCACAGTTGAACTCATGATATTTTCTAATATGTGGTAAACGGACGTAAGTCTCATAATATACAGATATTCTGATAATGCATACGATGAACATTTGCACTTGCGAATGATTCAGACCAAGCAATGCGATGACGCATAAAGTTGATGGAAAACGCTGTCCAACAGGTAAATTAATTGCAAAGTGATAATTTAGATGTTGACTTAGACTTCTGTATTCAATTGACATTTATTTTATAGCCTGTTTAAGATTATGATGAACTAAACAGCAGATCTTGTATGCCTACTGTCATGAAGCACTCCTGAAACGGGCATTTTAAACCTACTGCAACGTTTAACTTACTTAAACATTTAACTATCTAACTTTACTACTATAATTATTGGGAATTCCAGTAATGTTGCTAGCGTTATGTATTATTTTATATACAAAAAGTTTACATTATCTCTTTTAAACGTGGTAGAGCAATGCTGGAGCGATAATATTGCTGCTGAAATATATATACCTATATACTTACATATACTTTGAGCTGGCAAGTAATAAATGTTAGCCAAAAAGTCACCGGTACCCTGCGGGCACTTTACCGCCTGAAAAACTTTCTTCCATCCAGGACCAAAGCATTAATTGTGCAATCCTTAATTCTCCCCATGAAAGATTACGGTATTAGGTGTTATTTTGACCTGAATGCAGAACTTCTCAGCAAATATGATCGTCTTCTTAATAACTGCATTCGCTTCATTTCAATCTTCGTAAGTATGCGTTCCCAACTTAAGTGGCTACCCATTCGTCAGCGATGTAGTATGCCCGCACTCACAACCCTATACTCCATTCTGAAGTAGCCTACTCGCCCGTCTTACTTAACTTCTCATTTTCAGTTCCTCCAGTTCAAGACAGAAACCTACGTTATTCGAATAACCTTTTACTAACGTGTCCCTCCCATAATCTGGCTTATTGCATTCTTCCTTCACTCTACAGTCTGTTCTCTGGAACGTACTCCCTCCTGAAATTAGAACGGCTAACAATCGTTATGCAAACAAGAAGCAAGTTCGCGTATATTATTTAAATAAACTGGCAGAATAATCTCATTAGTAGTATTTAGTTATGTACTTGTATAAATATATAATTATATAGTGTATGTTATTTACATGTCATATGTATATTATTTATATATATATAATATTATGAATGTATTAAATGATTTTGATATGTAAGTTTATGTAAGTGTTTATGTATGGTATTATTTTGTTTTATATTTATATACTTTAATTTACATTACTGTCTTTTAAAGTTTCACACAAAATCATATGTATATTAGACATTTTGTAGTTTGTAGTTTTTTGTATTTTTAGAGTTTGAATGTTAAATGTTTTAGATCGGAATAAAGGGTTTTATTATTATTGTTATATTACACTGATGACACAACCCAGGCTTGTCGAACTGTTAGTAACTTTTTTTTATAGAAGAAGAGTGACAAACGAGCACCCAGTCCACCTGATTGTTAGTTGATACTGTAGTCCATAGACATCCATATTATCTATCCTTGACTAAGAATCAAAATACTGATGCGTTGTCGTCCCGAAGAACTATGATATAATCCCTCGTTTCCAGTAATAAGGGTCTAACGCAAGTTTTCATAATATGTGTGTGGAAATAAACGAAATAGTTTTTTTTATTCTTTATTAATGAGCTTAATCACAACGAAATAGTTAAAAGCAGCGACCGTCAAACCAAATTGACTTACCGAAACCGAAGGACTTTATGGTGGTTGATTTTTGAAAAGTTTTATGTAATATAATCGTGACATGACACAGACGTGCCAAATAATTTTGTAACAAAAAGATGACTAGTATAACGTTAATTTTAATAATTTTTCAAAAATATCGATTTAGTTTTTTTTTTATAGGATAAGGGTGACAAACGAGCACACAGTACACCTGATGGTAAGTGGTTGCTGCGGCCCATAAACATCTACATCTATCCTCTATTAC